GGCTTCTCTGTCACCTGCCACAGCTGGGCTCCTTCTCCTCAGCTGATACAGCCCAAGCCCAGGGGAAGGAGTGCTGGGAGCAAGATAAAGGGGTCCACTCAGAACCCAGACTCCCGGGGCCTGCGTGGGTGAAACCGACCCCTGTTCTTACTGAAAAGCAAGGCCATAAAATGGGACTTGCTCCAGCAAAACCCCCGTGATCCAGGAGGAAATGAAGCTGTGACATGGAGTTCACTTCATCCCTGATCTGAAAGGGAGTCTGGGGAAATGCTAATCCTGAACTTTTCTGCACCCTTCCTGCCTCTGGGCTCAGCTGATTCCTCTGCACAATTGAGCCGGGGGAGCGGCCCACGGAACAAGCCCCCCTTTTCTTGATTAGCGGAAAAGTGTGGCTATTTAAAAAGACGCCTCACGTAATTTTTTTCCTTTTTAGCATTTCCGAGCTGGGGTAGGGGTGGGGCCGGCTCAGCTGGGCACCTACTTGGAGAGCGTGCATCTGGGCGGGCGGGAGCCTGGGCCTCCTTCTGCATTTTCGGATGAGAGAGGCCACCCTATGTCCACTTCCTGGGGTCCTCTCCTTCCTGGGCCCACCCAGCAGGCGGCACGCTGGTCCCTGGGTGAGAAGCTGTGCTGACCGGGCAAGGGGGCCCCAGCTCCCTGCTGACCGTCCTTGGAAGCCTTGTCCACCCGGGGCTGCTGTCGGTGGGCCCGGGCCATTTGCTTTCAGGAAGGGTCTCCCCAGCCTGAAGGTCTGGGGGCGCCCAGTGTGCGCCAAGCAGTGACGAGGTGGACGCCCCTGGGAGTGACCGCTGTGTGCTCTGAAGCCTGACGGGCACCACTTCTTGTCTTCTTCCCCGAGTGACACCAGGCCTTCCAGGGACCCTCTGCTGCCACCAGGGAGTGGCCCTGATGGAGGGCCACACACACCACACGGGGAGGCAGGGCTGGCCACAGAGCCCCCCCCCCAGCCAGTCCTTCCGGGCAGGTGGCCGGCACCTGGGCCTTGTCTGGAGAAGGCACTGGCCGCCTCCGGGTCTCAGGCCCTGCTGGGCTGCGGGAGAGGCCTGGGCCCGGGGATGGGCAGCCCTCACCAGGTCAGCTGACGCGATGCCATGGGAGGCCAGTGTCCAGCCTGGCCCCGACCCCAGCTGTCCCGAGGCACAGGAGAGTGGACTGGGCACAGCGGGGGCAGAGGCATTTCTGGGCTTGGGCTTGGACTTTCATGTGGGAGCAGAGGGGGAGCCCAGGCCACTGTGGGCCACGGCCAAGCACAGGGGGGCCCAGTCCAGTCAGTGGGCCCCAGTGCCACCCTGTGCAGGAGGGCCTGAGGCTGGGAGGGACAGGGGTGTCCGTGAGTTGCCGGGGGGGGGGGGGCGGCACAGTGGGTGGGTCAGACCCAGTTTCTGCACCTACACGGTCCAGAGCATCGTCCTGGCCCAGGGCTGTCTCGGGTGTGCCCCGAGAGGGAGTCCTGTCCCGGGGTCCGTGGCTCAGCGGTCAGGCTGGGCCTACAGGAGATGTTGGGGCAGGTGCAGGTGGACCGTCCCGGCAGCTGGGTGGCCCCTGCAGACTGGAGACTGGATGAGCCTGGAAACAGAACGCCCTCAGGGTCTCGTGCAAGAGGTCAGCTGACCCTCGGATCTTTCAACCTTTGTCTACGTCCAGGCCCCGGAGCCTTGGGTCAGCCTGTGAGAGGCAGATGAGTTTCTGCCTTTTCCAGACCAGGAAAGCGAGGCTCAGAGACGTTGCTTCACTTATCTGAGGACCCACAGAGGACCTGGACAGCCAGAGGCCGACTGGGTCTCTGATATAACACTGGGTGGGAGGGGGGTCTTAAATTCAGGCCCCTCCTCTGCTTTTGGACCCGAAGCTTGTACTTAGAGACTTAGGAGGGGCCCAGAGTGCCTCCCGTCACCCCCTGCTACACGGCCTTCATGGGGCAGGCTCAAGTGACCACCCGGGAGGCTGTGGGTGGGGGCAGGGGTGTGGAACAGCATCCCCCTAACCAGGGTGCTCTGTTGACCATCGGCCAGTGACCGCAGCCCCCAGTAAGCGCCTCACCCCGGGCCAGGCAGCCAAGGGACCGAGTGCAGAGCCAGGGCGGGGGCAGGACGGTCACATACATGGTGTTTCTGGCCCGGCCCAGGGGCCTCAGAAGCCAGCAGGACTGACAGAGGAGGCTGCAGGATTGGGGGGCCCAGGCCCCTGGGGGAGGCAGGAGGAGGCTGGGACCTGCCCGTGGCCCAGAGCCCCCGTCGGACTTGGCTACAGGTTCTGGGGACAGTGGGGGGTACAGGGTGAGCGGCCCTGAGTGAGTCCAAGGTTGAGGGAACCCAGGGAGACCTGGTGGCACCGAACGACCCAGAAGGCCCAGGCCACAGGCTGGACTGGAGACCCCGCCCCGCAGCGGCCCCTTGCCCGACCCTCGGTGACCTTGCAGGGCTCTGGGGTTGCCCAGAGGACAGGGAGGCTGGGGCTGGTCAGGGCCTTTGGAGCTTGGGAACCGGGCAGAGCTGGGCTCTACCCATGGTGCACCCGGGAGTGACTTGTCACCTCCCTGGGCCTCGGTCTCCCCTCTGTGCCTGCCTCGTGGGTGGCTGGAGAGAGAGAGGTCCAGACCTCTGACCCCTGACCCCGGCCAGTGCTGCTCCCCCAGGACTCAGTGATCAGTCCCTGGAGAGGCCGTGCACACCGTCGGGGGCCTGGCCTCCAGTCACAGCAAGTGGAAGGTCCTCGAGTCCAAAAAAGAGGGTGCCATGCGCCGCCTCCCATAGCCCAGCCTGGAGCCTGGGCACGGGAGTGGGCGAGCCCGGACCCCAGGCCCAGCCTCCCTCCCTCCGTCGCCCTCTCCTTGGCCCCCAGCTTCCTCCCCTGGCCTCCAGCCCCCGGCTTCCCTTCCTTGTAGGCCAAAGGAGCCTCTCTGTGCGTTTCTATTTCTGCACCTTCCGCTTCCTGGCAGTGGCCGGCTGCTGCAGAAAGTTCTGGAATCCACAGGCCCAGCTGGCCCCAGGCAGGATGTGGGGCCTGGGTTTCCTCCCCCCAGCAGCACAGGGCCTGCCAGGGGCCCCTACCCAGGGAGTCGGGGAGGCCTGTGGCCAGTAGGAGATGGCAGAGAGAAGGCGTGGCCAGCCACCCAGGTCCCCGGGGGTGAGGTCCCGGGGGTGTGCCGCACCCTGAGGCCGGCAGGAAGGGCCGCTCCTTTCAGTTATTAGCCATCAGCTCCGAGATATAGTCACACCCAGGGATAAACAAACTCGCACCCTGTGCTTTGGCCGTGGCCTTGGCCATGGTCAGGGCCGGGGTTGCCCGAGTCTCGCAGCCGAGGAACACAGGATTCAAACAGGCGTTGGGACGCAGGGAAGGAGCTGCCTGCCACCTTCTTGGAAAATCGGGTGTGTGAGAGACGGACGGGGCAGAGCAGAGCAGGTGGCCCAGAGTCGGGCTCCAGGGCGTGTTTTCCAAGGCTCAGGGTCTGGCATTTGGGCGGGGTCCTTGCAACACCTCCGGCCCTGGTAAATGGCGCAGGTGCTGGGAAGGACCCTGGGCTGCGTCACAGCAGGTGGGCCTCGCCCCTGCACCGGCGGGGAGGGCGCCTGGGCAGGTCCTAGCACGGGGCTCTGGGTACGGGTCTGGAAGCTTGGTGGGTGGATCCCCCAGGGAAGCCCCTCTGCCACACGCAGGGTCACGGAGCTCAGCAGGAGCCGCTGCCTTTATTTAAAGTGTTTCCTCTTGAAGGGGCCATAGTAGTAGCACAGTGCACAACACCCAGGAAGTACTGGACGGCCGAGTAAGGAAATCCAGCGCAGCCGAAGCTCTGCACACAGGTCACCGGTCCACCTGGCGGTCCAGCTGTGGGCCTCGCTGTTAACGGGGTAGACAGGCCGCTTCCCTCAGCGGAGGCCGCATGCAGGCCCGGCGCTGTGCGGGTCCTTCTGAAGGTCACCCTGCAAGTACTGGCAGAGGTGCCTGGGCCTGTGGAGACTGGTCAGGTGGGAACAAGCCCGGCCTGGCCCTGGGGGAGCCGGGACTCCAGCCGCGGCAGTGGGTAAAGTCCAAGCTTCTTCTCTCCAGAGCAAAGGTGGGCTGGCCAGGCCCCGATGGCTACATCAGAAGGGAGCAAGGGAGTGTGGGACCACCTCCCCGGGACGCAGCAGTGGGGACTGTGAGCGGCCGAACGCCGGCAAGGTGGACCCCGGCCACCCGTGCTACATCCAACATGGCCAAGTGGACTGACCCAGGAATGCAAAGGTGTTTCCACATAGAAAATCAGCCGTGTAGTGGCATGAGGTGGGAGAGAGAGCCCACGTGGTCAGCTGGGTGGGTGTGGGAAAGGCATCTAACAAAACCCAACGCCTCTCATGATAAGGACTCCAAGAAACTAAAGATCGTGGGAAGTGGCTCAAGATGACAGCTAATGTCGTGTTAATGTGGAAAGACCCGAGCTGTTCCACCAGACAGGGAGCAACACAGGAGGCTCTCTCAACAGTGCTGGTCATGGGGGGCGTGTGGGGCTCAGGACGCCTGGCCAGAGCTGCTGAGGAAGGGAGAGGGAGGGAGGGAGGGAGAGAAAGGGAGGGAGGGAGGGAGAGAGGGAGAGGGAGGGAGAGAGGGAGGGAGGGAGAGAGAGGGAGGGAGGGAGGGAGAGAGGGAGGGAGGGAGAGAGAGGGAGGGAGGGAGAGAGGGAGGGAGGGAGGGAGAGGGAGGGAGAGAGAGAGGAAGGGAAGGAGAAAGAGGGAGAGGAAGGGAGGGAGAGGGAGGGAAAGAGAGGAAGAGGGAGGGAGGGAGAGAGGGAGGGAGGGAGGGAGAGGGACAGAGGGAGGGAGGGAGAGAGGGAGGGAGGGAGGGAGAGGGACAGAGGGAGGGAGGGAGAGAGGGAGGGAGGGAGGGAGAGGGACAGAGGGAGGGAGGGAGAGAGGGAGGGAGGGAGAGAGGGAGAAGGAGGGAGGGAGAAGGAGAGAAGGAGGGAGGGAGAGAGACGCCTTCCAAATTGGAAGGAAAGTGGTAGAAAATTAAAAAAAAAAAACCCTACCTATTCACAGACGTCATGGTCCTGTGTATAGAGAATTCCAGAGAATTCATAAGAAAGGTGGATGCTTTCACAGACCCGCTGGCCACACCAGCACCCAGCACCAGTTGTTTCCGGGTTTGGGGGTGCACCTCAGTGGTGGCCCCCCCACATACCCAAGGCCTTGGGTTAAATTCCTAGCACCCCCACCCCTGCCAAATTCTGTGTGTTTCTACACTCTAGTGATGGCTGATCTGAAAAGGAAATTTAAAAAGGTTTAAAATACCATTTAAAAGAATCAAAGAGTAAATCTGCCCAAGGGGCTGAGGGTGTATATCCTGAAAGCTGCGACACTCGGCTGACAGGGACGAGGCTCTCGGTGAATGGAAGGACACCCCGTGTCCACGGTGGGAGACCCACCTTGGCGCCAATGCTGACTGCCGTGTCCTAGGGGACCACACACCTCCACTGGCGCCCCAAGAGCCCTTTGCACAAAATGGAAAAGCCCAGCCTCAAATTTATATGGGGTTCAAGGGACCCAAACAACAACAACAACAACAAACAACAAACACTTGAAAATCAATCGATTCAGAGAACACCCAGTTTCCGGGCCAGGACTGACCACAATCCTAGAGCGATGGGAACCGCGGGCCCGGCCTGCAGAGGACACGGAGACGGAGGGGGGGAAGCCCGGGAGCCCACCCTCGCACCTGTGGCCAGGGATTCTGTTTTACTCTTTGTCAGTTGCAGGTGGACACAATAGCTGTGCCCCTGGGCCCCAGCCCCAGCCCCGGCCAGTTGATGGCGAGACCACGCAGCGGGTCAGAACAGTCTCTTCAACAAATGGTGCTGAGAACACTGATTTCCATGTAAAAAGGGATAAATGTGGATCCTTATACAAAACCTAACTCATAAGGGGTCCAAGACCTGAACTCAGAGCTTTAGAAGAAGACGTTGGGGAGAATCTCCATGAACACACACATCTCATGTTCCCATGCACAGGACGCCGAGGCCCAGCGACGGAGGAGAGAAGGTCCAGGGTATATGAAGACCTGTGCGGTTCCATAGAAAGCAACGCAATCAAAACCAAGAGACAGGAACAGAGGTTTCCTTAAAGGAAACACAATCGGCCACGGTGCCCTCAGAAGGTGCCTGCGACCCTGGCCACCGGGAGATGCAAGTCAGAGCCACAGGAGTAAGTGGGATGGAGACGGCTGGTGGCCGGGCTGGAGAGGGACATGCTTGCTTGGTGGGGACAGAGGGTCCATTCGGGAAGGTGCTGCTGCTGACGGGGCTCAACAGTGTGATGGCGGAGGCCCGGGGACTGTGCGCTGATAAATGGTCAAATAATAAGGTTTCACGTGTGTTTAACGTGACTGAGAAGGCAAGAGAATTGCTAACTGGCGGGAAAAGTCGAAGTCAAGGGGCGGCCGCTGGCCGGCTTCCCGGCTCACCTCCCGCCCTTCCACCTGCTGGCCTACTGTCCCTGGAGTTGAAATGACGGAAGTGACTGTCGCTCCAGGTGACCGATCCCCGGAGGCTCTGAGACAGCACAGCCGTCCCCAGGCCTCACGGCTCCTGCTGTTGGGCACTTGGCACAAGCTTCACTGAGACATGTGACACACAGAGAATCGGGCCGCAGAGAGGACAGCTAGAAGGAGCAGCCAGCCAGCACCTGCCCAGAAGCCCGGTGTCCCCTCCGGTCACTGCTGCCCTGGGGGAGCCGCCAGCTTTGCCCCATAGAGCAGTTTGCTGCTTTGAGCTGGACACCTGCGGATGGGCAGGCCTCCTCACTGCCAGGTGGGGAGCCTCGCCATGTCCACGCTCGCACGGCAGCCCTGGGGGGAGGCTGCACCCCGGCAGGCCCCGGCAGCCTGGCTCTCAGCCCTCTGCCCTGGGGCAGGGCTCAGGCACTGCGGCCAGCGGCGTGGGAGCGTCCCTGCTGCCTTAGGCTAACCCACGCTCCGTGTTGCTGGCCTCTTCTGTTTAGCCCCTGTGGTGGGGCCAGCTCCCCCGCACACCATCCTTGCCGCAGCAGGAAAGGGCCCCGGAGCCCTGAGCACCCCAGCCAGGCGACTCCCAGTGCCCATGTCCTGGGCGACATCTTGTACCCAAAGGCCATGTGTCCCAAAGGCTGGGTCACCAGCCTGTGGCACTGTTAGGCGGTGGGCTTAGTGGAAGGAGCTCAGGTCATGGAGCTGTGCCCTGGAGGGTGCTGGGACGGGCCTCCTCTCTCCCTGCTCCCGCCGTGGTGCGCGGCCTCACCACAGGCCCAAGGCAACCGCCACGGGACGGCGGGCCGAGACCTCCGAAATGAACGCGCCTTTCTTCTTCAGGTGGCTGTCTCAGGTATTTTGTTGCAGCTACAGAAAACCAACCCCCCACCAGACGGAGGTGACGGTGTGCAGAGGGCTCAGCCCCAGCAGCTGCAGGCCCCAGGAGCCCAGGCCAGTTCTCCCCTCCTGGGCCCGTGCCGCCTCCCCCGCCTCTCAGGGACGCCAGACCGCTTTGTCCACTGCAAAGGCCAGCAAGCATGACCTGTTGTCCCCTTCCAGGTGCCTTGGTGGGCGGGCTGTGGGTGGGGTGGGGCCAGGGGACCAGCGGTGTCCCTGGGCGCTGGCTCCCTGGGTCCCTGGCTCTGAGTTTCCCACGTGACCCCCTCTCTGTCCCTCCTTTCTTGGAATCTCTTTCTCTGACTTGGTGGGTTGGGGGCACGTCTCACTGCCCCCTTCCCTGCATGGGGGGTCCCAGGAGGCACCACCCCCCACGGGGGGCCACCCCCATCTCGGCCGCGGCCCCAGCACCTGCTTTAGGAGCCCACGCGCCCTGGGCCCTTCTGCCCGCTGGGAGCCCCCCGCCCAGCAGCTCTGGGTGGGGGCAGGAGAGGTCACCTGGCCGCAGTCCCTGTGCCTCCACAAGGACCACCCCCACAGGTGCCAGGGCCGTGCCAGCCTGGAGAGAGCACCCTGCGTTCTGGAAATTAACCCAGGAAGGACGTTAGTGCTCGTGTGTCCGCCACCCTCTGTGCCAGGCCTGTGCCCACAGCTTCTCACGTGAGCAAGGGTGATCTTCATGGGGACCTGCAAGGGACCTGCCACTGTCACCCTCGGTTTAAAAGCAAGAGAGTGAGGCGGAGGGAGTGAGGTGAAGGGGCCAGCCTTGAGCCACACACGGGTCCTGTCGCCCCCTCCCCGCCGTCTTGCCTGGACCTGGAGTGGGGCCGCATCTCCACTGTGGTTGGAGGGTCAAGGGAGGCAGAATGGGCAGGACAGGGCAGCTGGGGAGCAGGGTACCTGGCAGTGGGCACCACAGGGCAGAGGCCAGAGGCAAAGGGGTCGGCTCTGGGGGGAGCTGAAGGCCCTCGGTGGGCTCCACGACCCTTGGGCAGGTCTGGGGCTGGGAGGGCTGGGTGGGCTGTGCCACTGCTGGCCCTTCTGCTGCTGCCCGGGGGAGCTACTCATCATATCATGGGGAACTAGAATGTTCTTAGGTTCTGAGTTCCCTCTCCGCATGAAAATATGGAAAATTCCTCTCGTATTCCCCAGACAGACACGTCCCTGCCAACCCCTCTGTCTCCGGGAGCCCAGGGGTACAGATCTTGCTGGAGCTGCTACTGACCCACCCTTTCATCCTCCTCTGCCCTCTGGTCATCTGCTGTCCCCACACAGCCAGCCACCCACCACCTGCCCATCCACCCATCCATCCATCCATATCTACCTGCATCCACCCATCCACCCACCCCTCCTCCACCCATTCAATCCCCCATCCACCCATCAGTCCATCTACCCGTCCATCATCCACCCACCCTATGCACACATCCACGCATCCACCCGGCACCCATCCATTCACACATCCACCACCCATTCAACCACCCACCTCCCATCCACCCACCCACCCATACTCATCCATCTGCCCACCCCTCCAACGATCCATCTATCCTTCCATCCACTTGTTCACCCACCCATCCACCCTCTTCCGCCCACCCATCCTCCTGTCTCCCACCCTCTCGACACCCACCCCTCACACTCCCCACCCACCCCATACCCACCCTGTCCTTTCACTGTCTGCTCACTGGTGTGTCAGTGCGATTTGTGTCACTATAACAAAATGCCAAGGGTCATTAGGTTAAGTTTGTAACTTTATTTAGTGGATAGTCCAGGTTCAAGGGGAGGCACAGGCATGGTCTGGGCTTCTCCTGGTGGGTGGCATCCCGACAGCTGGGGCACGTGTGGGAGGAAGGGACACACCCGAGCCAGCGTCAGGAGCCGTTCAGGGGTCCCAGGAGAGCCCTCGCAATCCCCCAGGGGCCTACAGACCCCCACCAGGAAGGGTCCTTCAAGGTCCCCCACCTCTCATGTTGCCACTGGGCACCAGGCTTCGTGCACCAGAGCCCTGAGTGGACAGGCCACACCCGAGTCAGAGTGACCTGAGCCTGGTTGCAGCTCACGCCAGGCACACCCATGCGTCCCCACAGACACCCACGCCTGTGAGCAAGTGCAGCGGGTTCCCAGGTCGCATCTTCCGCGAACACACTCCTGGTCCCAGACGTGCAGTCACCAGAGCGCTGGCAGGTGCCCCGTGCGTTAGCTCTGACCCACGCTGTGGGGGTGACCAAGGTGCCCGGCCTGCGGCATCAGCCCACGGGTGCACGGGCAGCGTGTGTGAACCCTCGCGAGCCGACACGGACACCTGGGCTCACACCCGCAGCCACAGGCCCCCTGGTGCCTGAGCAGCCCTGCGGGGAGAGTCCCCGCGTCCCTCGGCTGGCCGAATGGAACCCACTTAACAGCTGTTGAGGAAAGCCCGGCCAGAGTCGGCCCCACACAGGCTCTGCACCTCGGCTGCCTGGGGACCAGACCAGGCCGGGCTCAGGGACGCCCGGCAGAGGACAGGGAGGGGACACCGTCACTGTAGTGCCAGCCTGCCAGGCCCTCCGCGGGCCTGGCCATGGGCAGGGCACCTGGGCCCCCGCCCAGCCGCCTCTCTGGCTTCCTTTTGTCCCGTCTGCGGCCTCCGCCCTGCCCCGCTGTGGCCCTGGAGTGGCAGCCCAGCTTCCCGTGCCCACTGCACACGGGCTGCTCCTCAGGCTCTGCAGACCCCCTGGGCCACCTCACACCCACCACCAGCACTGAGGACAGCAAGGGGTCCCCAGCCTGCCGGCCAGCCTGGCTGTCCTCAGGGGACTCGCTGCCTGCCCAGCACCACCTCTCCTCCTGCCGGCCCCTCCTGCACCCTCCTGGGGACTCCACCTCTGCTCAGAGCCAGCAGGGGACACTGGCTGAAGCCTCCCAGACCGGCTGGTTCTCTAGTGCACACCTGGGGGCTTCCCCGGGTGGCCACCTCCACAGCCATCGCTGGCCCAGAGGACAGGCACATACATGACACCGTGGAAAGAGGGAGGCTGGAGCCCTTCCGATGCCCGTGGTTAGTCTGCCAGGGCTTCCTTCAGATGGCACAGAGGGACGCGCCCTCCTCCAGGCCCACGTGTCCCCACAGGGTCAAGCCTGTCCCTCCCACCAACCCTGGTCCTTCTGGTCTTGAATGAGGCACCTTGTCACTCTCTGTGGCCAGTGCTGGGGACACTAACTTGAGTGGTTGGGTTTGATTCCTGGGAGCCGCGGGGGCAGGTGCCCTCATTCACCAGGGGCTCTGAGAGGTCTCCGGCTGCCCCTGGAGGACACCTGCCCAGGGCCCAGGGGCCTGGACCGGGGTCTGGCTTGGCCCTCAGTGACCTGGGCTGTCCCTGTGCAGGGCAGAGGGGCCTGAAGGGTGTGGGTGCAGGATTCAGTGCCTGCTCCCAGGGCCCCGTGCCCAGGGGGCAAACCGTGGTCATCTGAAGCACAGAGCAGGGGATGGACCCAGTGGGAGCCGCCTGGACGCTGCTCCTTCCCACAGCACCCCTCCCCCGCCCGCTGACCTCCCAGGCCCCTGGGGGAGGGAGCAGAAACCTCCTCTTTCCCAGGCTCGAGGAGGGGCGGGCCCTGTGGTGTGGGAGGCTGCCCGAGTCCCTTCTTTCCCTAGACTGAGCCAGGGGGCTTCAGGAAGGGCTGACCGGGCAGGGCTCATCTCCTCTTAGCACGCCCTGAAGCAGGAAGAGGAGCACAGAGAGGTGCGTAATGCACCAGGGTCACACAGCACAGGACGGGACCGAATCTGTCCTTCCTCCCAGGTGCTGGAGGCCCGTCTTCTCCACCTCGTATGTATCCATCTTTCCATCATAATGAGCTGTTTTTCTTTTAAATTCAAGTTCCATTTACATGCAGTGAAACGCCGGTTCTGATGTGAAGGCTCATGACTTCCTACCTGGGTCCACACAGGACATTTCCATCACCTGGACAGTTCCCTGGTGCCCTCCTAGTGAATCACCATAGGGTCACATGGTGGCTCTTGGGCTTTGCATACGTGGACTAAATGGTGTCTCCTCCTTGGTTCTGGCTTCTTCTGTTGAGCACGCTATTTCAAGGCTCGTGGCTGCTGTGTGTACCGTGCACTGTCCCTTTTTTTCCACTGAGTAATATTCCATGGCGTGGATCTACCGTCTGCCTGCTGGTGGACGTGAGGGCACGTCCAGTGGGGTGGGGTGAATGTGGTTTCTGTGAACTTCCAGGCACGAGGCAGCTCTCTGTGGACATCTGGGCTTGTTTCCAGTGGGCAGTGGTTTGCTGGGCTCTAGGGGAGACCGAGACTTAGCCTATGAGAAGCTGTGAAGCCTTTAGAAATGGCTGTGGAAAATGTCGAAGCAGGGAGGAGGGGGTAGACTCTGGTGGCCACCCTGCACATCCCCGAGCCATCTGGGGTGCTCCCTAGTGTGGCAGGACGGTCTCTGCAGAGGGGGTCTTGCCGGGCAGACCTTCTCCAGGGAGCCCCCAGCCTTCCGGGGACCCCAGCCTGGGCCACTGACTTCCTGGGCTGAGGGCCTCTGGAGAGGTCACCCGCTCTGGGAAGGCCAAGGGGCGGTGTCCAGTGGACCCCACCTGGGACCAAATAGGAGGTGATGTGGGCCCCTCCCCCACCGTGACTCCTCCTGGTGGCCCGGAGGCCAGGGGCGGCCTCGCCTCCCCGCCCTACCTCAGCCTCCTGCTCTCTGTCCCTGCGCTGCCACTTGCGGGTCCCGGCAGCCAGTTCTGCAGGCAGCTCTGGGATGCAGCTGCTGGTGGTGTTGGGGGGGGGGTGCGTGTGCAAATGCACACTCAAGCCAGACCATTTCCTGAGCCCCTGCAAGGGTCCCGCGTCAGCTCCTGCAGGGCACCGGCCTGTCCCCCAGCCAGTGGCACATCTCAGCCCCTGACGGGCTCTGGGTTCACCTGGTGCCAGGGTTTTGCAGCCCATTAGAAGCAGTGTAAGGCCAGGTGCGGTGGCCCATGCCTATGATCCCAGCGGCTGGGGAGGCTGAGGCAGGAGGATCTCCAGTTCAAAGCTGGCCTCAGCTCCAGCAAGATGCTAAGTGACACAGCAAGCCCCTGTCGGGGGCTGGGGCTGGGCTCCGTGGCTGAGTGACCTTGAGTTCAATCCCCCCCCCAAAAAAAGAAGCGGTATAAGGAGGGACCAGAGTTGCTCCTGCAGAGCCCCCTCCTCAGGGCCGCCGTCCTCACTGGGTCTCCACTCGGGAGTCGGTGGCTCAGGTTTTGCAGATTCATAAATGGGGCTGCTGGGGCCCCGCACGAAGCCTCCCTCGTGATGCTTTGTGTGGCCCCCGACCCCAGCCGCGGAGCCGGGACCCCAGCTCACAACAATGCCCGCCCGGCCTGGGTGGCACCGCGCGGTCCCACTTGAAAAGGGCTTTCGCGGGGGCTGCCTTTTAAGAGGGGAACAATTGGCAGGAGGCCTGGCGCTTATTCATGCAGAAGAGCAATGAACAGCCCCTGCCGTCCGTGTCAGGGTGGGCAGTGCCCAGAGCAAGGGGCCCGCGCGGGGCGGCGGGAAGCCCGTCGCTAGGAGACGGCTCCCAGGCATCTCCCCGCGGCCCCTCGGGGCTCCCTCCAACCCTGGCCCAGCCCTGGCCTGGCCCCGCTCTGTCCCGGCTCGGTCCCACGTATGTGTCGGCCACCTAGCGTCTCTGCTGTGCACTGAGACCTGAGTGACGAGCACCCTCTCTGGGCCTCCGTTATTGGGCCACGTGGGACATTCCCAGCATCCCTTGCTGCTTTGAGATGGAGCCCACTGATGCTTGGGCCCCTCGGGTTTCCTCAGCAGGTGTCCCCCAGCCCCAGGACCCCAGAGCAGGAGCCAACCAGGCAGGCCCAGTTCGTGGCCGTCACACACCCACCTCCGACTCCTGACCGCTTTTGATGCTGACCCTGCATCCACCCTGCCCCGTCTAGCGGGAGGCAAGGCCGTGCTCTTATGCTGGTGGCATGCTCTAGCCCACACAGGGTCCCTTGGGCTGCCGGGACCCTCACCCCTCTCTGGGGACCTCAGAGCACTGGTGGCCAGAACGTGCCTTGGTGGACCCTGGATGGGCCACCTCCTCTCTGTCCACCCTCAATCTGGGTTGTGTACCTGCCCCGGCAAATGCCAAGTCCCCATGGTCCCCCCACCATCCTCTTATCCGACCCTGCGGCCCCTTCCCCTTCACGCCAGCCCCATGGGCCTGGCCACTGGCTATCTTGTCCCTCTGTGGTGTCCAGGTACAAGGGTGACAGGAATCAGCAGGACTCCTGCTCCTGGCCACCCGGCCTTGGAGGGAGAAGGGCCCACTGCCATCCTGAAGGGGAGGAGAGGAGTCAAGTCCCGGGGCCCAGGGCTGCGGGTCACCTGCACTGCCTGGTTCTCTTGTGGGGCAGAAGAGCAAGAGGCCAGGCCAGCACTTCCCCCGGCCTCGGGTTCCCCATCGGAAGGGTCCTGTCACATCTGCAGTCCCTGGGCTCACTCTGGGGGGTTCTGGCCCACCCACCCCTGCCTGGCGCACTGAGGAAGCACTGACTGGCCGCGTGGAACTGAACCAGTGGAGATCTGGAGGCGGCTGTGCAGAACAGAGGTGAGTCCCTCCTGGCGGAGTGTGTTCGGACCAGCTCCAAGGAAGCGGTCACAGGTTCTCAGGACGTCTGGGAACACTGCTGACCCCCGCCCAGGTTGACAATCCAACATGGTGTGCATGAGATTGAAACAAGGCCAGCAGCGGTCCAGGCCCGGGGCTGCCCAGGGCATTTCACCAGCGTCTACGCCCTGAGCCACCACCCCTTCTCTACGTGGTGGAGACACACCCAGCCGCCCGGCACTCTTCAGTGACTTCCAATCCTGTCCAGGGACTTTGGTGGCTTGTGACAGGCCACGGCAGAAGTATTGACTCCAAGGAATTGGCCAACCTTGATGGATGGCCTTGTTGACCACGCAGCCTTGGGCAAGCGTCACCTTAGAGGAGACGCTAAGGTGGGGTGAGCTTGGGAGTGCGTCACCCTGCAGCCACCCAGCGCCAACGCGGAAAACTGAGGACAGATTCTTCCAGTGTCCAAGAATCATTACCCAATCCATCACCCAGTTCTTTCTTAGCCGAGAATCTGACCCGGTCTTGAGCAGTGAGCAGGGGCTGACGCTGGGCTTTTGTTGGTTTATATTTAGGTGTTACCCGTCAAGGGAAATGTAAAGCCCGGCCACCGAGCCACCTGCTCACGGGCCACAAAGCGAGCAGCGAGGATCCCAGTAGCCACCTGGGGCTGAGTGACTGTGGCACACTCACTGAGGTCCTGCAGTGGCACCTGTCACACACGTTACTGGGGTCCTAGGTCAACCTGGGTCCCTGTCAACGCCCCGGAGCCTGAGCCCCTGCGGCTGCCCTCGGTGTCTGCCAGGTGCTGACCTTGTACTTTGTCGAGAGAGCTTGGCTGCTTTTGCCCTCTGAAGCATCCCGTGTATGTGTCCAGCCAGAGGGACATGGCCAGGGAAACGTGGGAGTGAGGCCAAGCCTGCCCCAGGAAGAGGGCAGCACCCTGTCCCCTCCCCGTGTGTCCAGCCCTGCTTTGTCCCAGGCTCTGGGGCTCCGAGTAGCCCCCGCTGCAGCCCTGGGGACCTCCAGCCACGCTTCCCGACGAGGAACCTGGACCCTGGTGCACAGCCACTGACGGGGATCCCCATGTTTAAGTGCAGAGCATCGTGATCAGGGCCCGCCTCGGGTGACGCCGCTCACTCCCTCAGCCCTCATTCCCAAGGCCCCTGAGGCCCACCCTGTGCCAGGAGCTGGGCCCAGCGCTCGGGCTGCATCCTCACGCCCATCCCCTACGTCCGTCCAGGCGGCCCCAGGACTGAAGCCCTCAAGATGAAGTAGGGACACTCCCCAGGCTGGAAGAGAGGCACACACAAAGGTCCTGGGGCACAAGAGCACCCCTGAGCCCTTGTGACCCATCTGAGGAAGACAGGACTGCGGTGGTGGCAGGTCCGACGGGAGGCGGGAGCTGCTCTTTCCTGGCGATACAGGGGCAGCTAGAGGCCGCGAGGAGGGAGAAGATGCTGGGAGAAGGCGGGGAGGCAGAGCTCGGGTGGCCAGCCCTGTTCTGTTGGAGGTGACAGTGGTCTGATGGGAAAGAGGAGAGAGACCACCGTCAGCAGGTCATGGAGCAGAGAGGGACCAGAGTGGGGATGAGGAGTGGGTCCCAGGTGGCAGAGAAGAGCCAGGGTGGGGCTGGGTGGCAGAAGCAGCCGCCCAGACTCCTTGGAGCCAGCTGGAGGCTGCTTGGGCGGCGGGTGGGGGTGGAGCCCAGGTGTGGAGGCCGGCGGGTGGGGGTGAGGAGGCCTCGGGCAGGGTGGGGTCCACCCTCCCCAGGTGCCCGAGGTTCCGGGCACCAGCGTGGGCTCCTCCCAGCGCCTGCTCCCTGAGCTTCCAGGGAGAGAAGGAGGGCAGCCCGCGGTGGCCAGCCAAGCTGCCTGGGCCTCCCCAGCGCCTCCCGCAATTCCTCAGGCTCTGGATCGTCCCCGGCCACACACAGGCCCTTCCTGTGGCTGGCCACTCCCGAGAGGAGCCCCGCCCCTTTGTCCACCACACCCCACGTGGCTGCAGCAACTCGCCACAGGGAGGGGCAGGGCCAGGGCCTGAGCGTCCAGGGCCATGCCTGACCCCGGGCAGAGGCCAACTCGGGTGCCTCCTCCTCCCATTCACAGCCGGGGCAGGGAAGCTGGGGGTGCCCCGTGCCCAGGGTGTCGTTTCTGGCTCCCAGGTAGGGTGGGCGGGCACCAGGCCCGGGCGTGCAGGGCCTGCCTTTCCAAGGGACCTGCCCATCTCAGGCTGGCCAGGGCCGTACGGAAGCTCCTCCTCGCCCTGGAAGCCAGGCTCCACCTTCCAGTGTGTCCCGGGCCTGCCTGTACCCAACGAGCACTGCTCGGCTGCCCCTCCTGCCAGGGTGGCAGAGCTGCCCAAAGCCCCTCTGTCCCCTTGAAGTCCCCGGTCCATTCCAGAACACAGGAAGTGCACGGATAAAGGACAGGACAGAAGGGGACAGTCAAGCCTCTCCTGGTGGAAATGGTGCCAGTTTTAGCTCCAACAAAAGGGCATCTCTGTGCCACGGTGACAGAAAACTAAAGCCACCAGGCCAAGCAGAAGGCTCCAAAATGTGTCTGAGTGAGCCCGCTCCCCAGACTCTGTGCAGGGCTGCTGGACAAAGAGGCCCGGACAGGAGGACCTCAGGAGGCCCGGCTGCAGCAGGAGCTCAGACTCGAGCCCAGTAGTGCAGCTCCCGGCTCCGAGGCCTGGGAGGAGAACCGCGTGCGGCTGCGCCTCAGTCCCCCTGCAGGCTGGGATCCCGGGAGTCCCCACTGTGGGCACCGTCATGTCTCCTTGGAGAAGTGACTCTGGGAGCCCCTCACCGGGGGACGCACCCAGGTAGGCTTGAGCCGAGTGCCCGCCCGCCTGCCACAGGTGCTCGAGAGCTGACCCAAGCACCCACTCCCTGTGCCCCGAGTGTCCCCAGGGCCCTTCGGAGGTAAAACCCACCAGCCGACCCTAGAGCCACCAAGGCTGGCTGGGCCAGAACAGGGTCTGTCCTGCTAATCCACATGGAACCAGGGGAAGAGCCCGGGCCCCTGTCCTTTGTCTGTCCCCCGACCCTCCCGCCACCCCTCCTTGTGTTCCCTTCCCGGCCAGCTGCCCCCAGGCCCCAGCCCCCAGCTCCACCCTGAGGTTCCTGGGACCCAGGCAGCTGCAGCCTCTTAGGGGCTTGGCAGTTATGGACCCCAGTCTGCAGACCGGTCGGAGTCCTTCGCCGCAGCCACAGGGGGCCCTGTACCTCTCCTCTTGGCCCTGGGGGGGGGGTCTCTGGCTGGACTTGCTGGCCGGCCATCCCAGCCCGCCGTCTCCCTCACGCAGCGCCTCACCTCTCTCAGCACCACAGTGAGTGTCCTCTGTGCCCAGTTCTGGGCTCTCCTGGGGTGAGTCCTGGGGGCGAGGAGGGCGGCAGCACTTCCTGCCGGATGCTCCCCAGCTCCCTCGGGGGCCACCCCCAGGGGCTTCTGGATTCACCACTACTTTTTGGAGTGAGGGAATCTGGTGGTGGTTTGGGGTGGCGATATTTACAGCAACCCCAAGCCAAACACCCAAGGCCCCTCTGTCCCCTGGGGCAATGGCTAGCGCTGAGACCCTGAGGCCCCAAGCCTGCTGGTCACCAGCTCCAGATTCCAAGATGGCAGCCAGGTGTCCGCGGCCCTGGCACGGCCGTCCCTCTCTGGGTGGTTCTCTGGGAATCTGAAGTTTGGTGCCGACAGGCCAGGGCAGGCTGTGGCCAGAATCTCTGGCGGTGACCGGCCACTGGGGCAAGTGGCTGCCCAAGGTCTCCTGCTCCTCCTGGTGACCCTGGATCCTGCTGGGGGGAGCCAGCTCATTCTCCAGGGTCAGAGAAGGCCACTGGAGAGCCAAGGAGGTCACAGGCTGGGAAGACGCTGGGACTGTGTCCAGTGGTGTCCAGCCTTCCCAGGCCTGGTTCCCAGTGAGTGGCCACTTGGAGCCAGCCCAGGGCAGGACCGAGGCCAAAGCCGGTGGCCTTGTCTGCCAGGCTGAGTGCGGTCTGCTCCCCTGGCTCACCGAGGTGGGTCCCCACACAGCCCTGGGCTCCAGGCAGAGCCCCCAGGGCCCTCTGTGGGTGCTGGAAGGACACCGCCTGGGCAGGGGGAGTGTCTCTGGATCTCTGGGTCCAGACAGACAGGGCCAGGACAGAGGCCCCAAACAGGGCCACCTCCACAGCGAATGGCCGCAGCCTATTTGCAGGGAGCTGCCCAGACATCCTTGGCCACAAGGAAGCCACCCAGACAGATGGTCTCACCCAGTGGAGCAGAGTGGACCTCCTCAGCAGCCCACACGGTGCCTGCCCAGCACAGGCCCTGCCCCACGAGGCCACAGAGGGTGGAGAGAGAGCCAGGGGCAGGGAGGCGGGCCCACCATGTCCACTGTGTGGCCAGGCTGAGTGGTCAGGGATGGGGAGGGGGATGGGTGTCCAGGCAGGTTGCAAGGCCCCTGGCCCAGGAAGGCGAGGGCCTTCCCCACTCAGCCTCACCTCTGGAGCTGGGCCCGGGAGGAGAGGAACAGCTGGAGTTTGTGGTGACAGTGACCATGGCACCCTGACTCAGCAAGGCCCGATGGTGACTCCACGCTGGGGCTGGGGAGACGGGCCCCACCAGTCTCCATGGACGAGGCGGGACACGGGGTCCCCGGCCCCATCTCCCCCCTGCAGTGCCCTTGCTGGGTGGCCCTTCCAGGAGTGCTGTGTCTGGAGTTCCAGTGACCCTCTGTGTCCTTAAGAAGGACAGAGCCTTGCATGAAGTTAGAAGGAATCCTGCTTCCTGAGTGCCCAGTCTGTGCTGCTCAGAGTCTCCTCCTTCTGTTTCTTCACCACCCCAGCACCCAGCACCCAGCACCCCAGCACGCAGCACCCAGCACCCAGCACGCAGCACCCAGCACCCAGCACCCAGCTTCGCCTGCATCATCCCAGCACCCCAGCACATGGACCATTTAAACATATCCAGCAGATCCTTGCTCAAGGGCTTCTCTTCACATGAGGGAAACGGAATCCCACGTGTGGCCCTGAGGCCCCACATCAGCCCAGTCCCGATGCCGGCAGGTCAGGTGGGGAGCACGGAGCCGGCCCAGAGGGCCAAGGCCGCAGATGAGGCCCCATGTGGGGTGGGCTGAACGCGGTTCGAGACACCGCGTCCTGAACCCCAGGCCCTGGACTGTGGTCTCCAGGGTAAAGAGACCCCGCAGATGAGCCAGCCCGGGGAGCTGGAGGTGGGAGGGGTCCTGGGTTACCTGTGCCCATGTCACCACAGGGTCTTTGTCAGAGGGAGGCAGGAGGGCCAAGCCGAGAAGAGATGGGACATGGCCTGGAGTCCAGCGGAGTCCTCTGGAGTCTCCTCTTCGGCAGCCCCAAGGCCTCGCTCAGCCCACCCTCCTGACCCTTGTCCAACCACCCTAGAGTCTCCCCCAGGTCCAGCCCCCTGGGGACTGGGCTTGGCATAAGCAGGGGAACACGGTGGGTCCCTAGCGGTGGTGGGCCCTGCGCGAGTCCTGAAGGCGTGGTCAGTGCCTGCAGGTTAGCACCTGGGTCACCCCACCCCCGGCTCTTGGAGACTTTCAGGGCAGGAAGACTGGTCCTCGCCCTGTCCTCACACCGGGCCCTCGTGGACTCCCGGGAGGGGTGCAGGACACAGCCAGTGGGCAGGTGCTGCGCTGGGGTGGCCGTTGCCCTGCCCATCCTTCTCCTGCGCTCCCTTTTCTCCGTGGGTCTCTCTGGGCCCAGAGACTGTGCTGGTCTCTGCCCAGACCCTCCTGGAAAGCCACTCTGAGCCCCAGGGTGGACAGGACCACCGTGGACCTGGCATCTCCGTAGAACCTTCCGGTTGTTCACTTGCAGGGTCAGAGCTGGGGGTCGCAGTGGGGGAGATGGGGGGTCCATCCAGCGGGAGGCGTGTGGCTGGACAGGGGGGCGAGCCAGGCTCTGCCTTGCCTCTGCTTTTGACCCTGCTGTCCTTGGGCACGTCCCCTGCACACTGGGGCGGAGGCCTCTCAGTGGGTGGTGACCCCACGTGCTTCCACGTGGGCCTCGGGGGGACTCAGCAGAGGCTGGGGGAGTCAGATACCCCCGGGGTGCTCTGGAGCAGGGTGGCCTGCAGGAGCCAGGGCCGGTGAGCAGGGCAGCTGGGGGCCTGGCCAGGGAAATGCAAGGGCCCCAGAGAGTGCCCAGCGAAGGCCCACTTCCAGCCTGGCAACAAGTGAGGACAGAGCCTCGGAGGCCCTCCCAGCCCCCCAGGGGCTCCTCAGGGTCACTCTGATGTCTGGAGGGACACCGTCCTTGGGGCCCCAGGCCAGGTCAGCAGAGCAGCCCCTTCTCCCAGGCAGAGTGGAGGCTGCAGGGGCCCCTTGTAGCCCTCACTCCTGGGGAGGCAGGAGGAGCAGATGGACTTGGTGCCCAGTGCTGCCTCTCTGCATCCAGCTTGGCAGGTCCAGTGCCCGAGGCCCACCCTGGGCGAAGGGAGGGCAGGTGCCTGCTAGGCCCAGCCCAGGACAGCAGACGCACTGTGAGGACCAACAGGAAGGAGGATGCCATTGTGCTCGGCAGGGTGACTGCGGGAGCCCCTCTCCCCAAAACCCTAACCCCACCCCCATTCAGACAGTCAGGGCCAGGAGCGTCCCTACCTCTGGGCAGAGGCCCCTCCCTGTCCACCCAGGGCTCTGGTGCTCTTCTGGAATGAGCCTGCAGATGGACCCTGCCCCCAGGCACGTGGCCTCTGGCCCTGGCCCCGGAGTCCCAGGAGGGTGGTCCCTCAGCCCTGCTGGAGGAAATGGATCAAGTGGGGCCCTGCCCCTGAGGCCGCTCTGAGCCCTGACAGTGCCGGACAGGCACCAGGCCTCTGGCCCCTGGCCTGGAGTGGCCCTTGGCCATCTCCCTTCCCAAGGGCTCTGGGAAAGGCCCTGGCCGTGGGAGGCCCTGCAGGCAGGACCACCCCGCCCTTTCCGCGCGGCCTCTGCAGGACATTACCTCATCCCTCGTGGGCAGCTCGGCCGCTGGCCAGCAGATCGTGCTGGGAATGCGCTGTTCCAGCCCCGGCCAAGGGAGAGCCGAGCCTCTGGGAGGAGTGGTCCCTGGGGTCCCCAGGCTCAGCCCCCAGTGCCCTCCTGGGTGGCCTGGGGTGGGCAGGGTCCTCCTCTGCCACAGGGCCCACTTGCTGTAGCCAGGGACCCTGGGCCACCCCAGCAGCCCCCTGGGACGGGCGTGGATTCAGGGAGTAGAGCGGCCCCTGGCCGGGCCCCGGGCACTGCAGGAAGCAGGCGCAGCCAGAGGAAGCCGAGCTGAGGGCAGCGCCCGGCCTGGGGCAGCCCTGTCCCCCACCCGTGCTCCCCGAGTGCCAGGCTGCAGAGGGGCCTCCGTGGCCTGGAGCGCCCCAACATGGGCCCCCGGGGATGGCTGGGGAGGCGGCCCGTGCAGCAGGCCCTCTTCCCCTGCGGAGGAGAAGCAGGTGACAGCTGGGTCCCCACCCTTCCCGGACATCGTCCCAAGGTCATCCCAGGGGCCACATGCATGTGGTCTGCTGCCTGGCCCAGTGTCCCCAGGGTGGGTGTGGCCAGGGAGTTGGGCCCTGCTCAGTTCAGCTACCAACTCGCAGGTGCCTGGCCGGGCGCTGCCCCGCGGAGGGGCTTCCTTGCATGTGGGGCCTGCCCACTAACCCTGGGCCAAGCCCCGTGCTTGTTCCTGTGGCCACCACAGACCTGCAGCGTCCGCCAAGGACACCCATCACAGTCCCGGGGTCCAGGCCGGCTCCTCCCAGGCCTCTCTCCTCGGCCTGTCCTGACGGTCCCCTACAGGACACCAGTCATGTGGACCAGGACCTACCCTGTGGCTCACTAAGGACTGGGGATCAGGGCTTCAGTGTGTGAATCTGGGGGGCAGGCCATTACCACTCAGCCCTTCACAGTCCCCAAAGAGGCCCAAGAGCCCCTTCCTGTCCTCGCTGGCTCACTCTGTGGAACCCAGTGGACATGACCTCGTGCGGAGCAGGATGTGGTGTGGCCAAGGGCCCTGGCCTCAAGACAGGAAGGCAGAGGAGAATCACCAGGCCAGGAAGCCAGGAGACCGGGGTCAGGGGGGTCGGGGGGTCCTGGCCACCCCTCCCAGCTCACCTCCTGCCTCGACGCATGCATCTGCTGAGCCCTGCTGAGCGCTGCCCGCAGAACCTGCCGGAACCCCCACCCCCTGACGGCTCAGGCCGGCCCTGGTGTCTGAGCTGTTAAGCTTCCCAGTCCACCAGGACAGCTGCAGACCTAGGCTCTGTCAGGCTTGGGGGTCCCCATGGAGGAGGCTGGGCAGGCCCAAGTCTCCCCATTTTCCAAAAGGCAAAAATGAGGCCCCCCCAGAGCTAACAGGTGGGAGGCCAGACACCCTCCTGCTCCCTCCTCCACCTGCGTTTCTGGCCAAATGGTGCCACCTGATGCTAACCCACCTTCGATCCTGTCCTCCCCTCCCTTGGGCCCCACCTGAGTGCTGGACATGGCCCTCGGGAGGTGCCCTTGCCCCGTGTGTACCCTGAGCCTGCACTCTGTGTCCTTGGCTGGACTTGTCTGGGCCTCAGGACTTCTATGGGAGACTCTGAAACCTAGATCCAAAGAAATGAGAGTCACAGAGAAGTGGCCAACGAGTCCTCTTGGACTCCTGAGTGGCACTGAGTCCACCCTGGGGGCTGGGGCTTGGCCTGTGACCTGAATAAGGGCTACATTCCATGGAGTTCGTAGCAGGACTGCCCGGGCCGGGGCTCGTGCGGCGGCCCTGCGTCTTCCCGTGGGCACCCCGAGTGGGCAGCCCAGACCCAGGTGCCGTTCCCATCACAGCTGAGGGACTGCGCTAGGAGATGCGTGCGGTCACGTGGCAGGGCGGGCAGCCAGCACACCTGTGGGTCCCCAAGACCGCCTGGTTCTCCCTGAAGAGAGGCTTCCCGGAGGAGGGTGCTGTCTGGAGGTCCCCCCGGGGCAGCCTGGGGCGCGGGGTGAGCGCTGGGCGGGGGCTGGCTGCAGGACGCAGGTGGGAAGGCGTACAGGAACCCCTCAGCCTTGCCAGGGCCACCCACAGGGTGGGCTGAGCCAGCAGGAGCCGCCACCTCCCCTCCAGAAGGTCCTGGCCACAACTGGCCACGAGGCAGCCCCCTGCCTCCGTTCTGGACTGCCCACGGCATCGGTGCTGTGGCTGGGAGGTGCGAGGGCCACACCTGGAGCGCGGCCAGAGGCCCCTCCCTCCCTCCCAGGGCACCCAGAAGCAGCCAGTCCAGGCTCCGTGTGTCACTAGAGCTCGGGAAAGTGGGCGTCGCTACCAGGAGGCAAAGGGCGGGTGTCAAGGTGCCCTGGGTGGAACCCTGTGCCCTGAGCCTCACGCCTGGACCCCAGGACCTTATGTGGACATTGGGTCTTTACAGGGGTCCTCTGGTTAAAAGAAGTGGGTCCTGATCCAAAGTGGCCTGGTGGGTCCTGATCCAAAGTGGCCTGGTCCTGATAAATAGGGAGGTGGACACAGAGACCAGCCTAGGGGGAGGGTGGCCATGTGAACTCAAAGGATCCGAGTGTCGCATCT